CCCCAAAACCCCAAAACCCCAAAACCCCAAAACCCCTTATTTATGGAACTGGATTGAGATAATATAATTCATAAACTAACATGAGCGGGACAGATAAAACTAGAAAAATCAAGAATAAAGGTTCTCCCTCAAGCCTTCACGGGTCGATTCTTATTGACTTAAAGAAGAAAAAGGGTTTTCAGTACAACGACATTGTGCGCATTAATGGCTGCAGATATGTTCTCACAAAGTTCTCCAAAAGCAGTAAGTTGTATACTATTTTAGCTAGACTCACCAATTCCTGTTTGGAGAATTAATATTTCGGAAAATCTTTGTTAAATCATGCATGAAGGTGCTACTTCAATTATTAGACCTGAGCTTGGATACTTCTGGAGGTATCATCCTCACTGCGGCTAATAAGAGCGTAGCTTATTGCTCCATCCCAGTCCGTTAGCCAATTAGTCAGAATCAGTCTGATGTAGTGTATTGTTGGCAAGAGGTCTCAAAATCCTTGTAGATTTAAGGCAAAGTTTTGACAAAATAATCTAAATTAGTTTTAGGCATATCTAGCGATTGCATCCAAAAGGATTCATACTAGCTGGGGATTTATAAATCAAGAGAATTTGGATTCTCTGATTAAAAGAGATCAGTTTGTTGCCTTTTAGCCTCACTTTGGTATTTAGTAAAACCTATATCTCAAAAACTAGTAGTATTATCATGAATTTTTAATAATTTCATGAAATTTTCGGTTTAAAATTCTGATTTAGAGGTAAAAAAAAAGATTTATTAAACTTGCTGCTACTATTTTTTTCTTCAATATAACACCAAAACTAATTTTAATAGCAAAATTTCCTAAGATAGTTGATACAAATGTACTCTAATTCAATTGCTAACTTTATTCATAGGCATTTAGGATTTATACAGTTTAAATCAATTGTTTTGATAGTTTCAAGTGTAGATCTCATTGAATTCTCAAAAGCATTGCTATTGAAAATATTCTGAGCTAGGCTCAAATTTCTCCCTAATAAGGCCATCTTTACACCACTTGTACCCTAGGCATCTTCATTGTGATTCAGACATTAAATTTTTAGAGGTTTGGATCTGTAGCCTGATGGTACAAATATTTTAGCTCTAAAATCCAAGATGAAATGAGCATAAGCATGCAAAATGATTATTTTCCCATGAATGCTTTATGTAGTTCTTCAATAATTCCCCTAAAGTTTTTATGCTAGATTAAATGCCGTCTCAGATAGGATTAGAATTTCAAAGATGATAATCCTGCTAATTCTCAGGCTGCTCTTGAAATTACTGACTTTCTCCCAAATTTCTGAATTGAGCTTATCATCCCATTCTGTCAAATGAAATTTACCAAGACTGCTTGAGAAATAAAGTTATATAACAAGAGTTCCTAAATCTGTGACAAATGAACCTTCATCGTATTTTAGCTATAATGCTCAGGGCTGATTTTTAACTGGAATAACTCATTTTTAGGTTATTTTCGTGAACTTTTAGAACTCGATTAAACACATTTAGTTTTCCTAAAAATCCTGTACGAAAGCATACTAGATTGTATGATACAAAGTGAGGAATCGGACTGTATCTTCAAAGCTAAAAATCTTAACTATGTTTCTGAATAATCTTAAACGGATTCATTGTCACTAGCTTATAATGTTCGATTAGACGTCAAAATCTAGTTAAAATTTCTATTCTTTATATAAAAATCACCGTATAAAGCTTATTAATTACAGTTTGAGGGAATAGGATGATATTAACAGGATTTTCAAGTACCCTGACATATCTTGGTTTATACTTTTAATGAAGAATTACTTTTTTAAGCCTCGAAGTAAAAATAGAACCTCTGCACAGCAAATCCCTCTTTGAAATTGTAGTATTTGCTCATTTCAAATATTATGAAATTGTGCTTCATAGCTTTTCATATTTTCATAGGGCTTTTACACGCTTCCAGATTTATAAGAAATTTAGTATTCCTTCTTAAATTTGATATGTCTTCAAACCTTAAGATTGATTATTCCCTCGAGTGAGGCAAACGCTACTTTCTCAGTGATAGGCTTCTTAAAGCAACTTAAGAATTAACAATGATTTGAGCATTATTGTAGTACCAAATAGATGGTTAATAACTTCTATTCATGAAAAATTGAGGTCTACCTCGATATTTCTGAATCGAGACACTGTTTGGCCTAATTTTCAGGCAGAAATATTTAATATAACTCTAAAAATTGAGGATTTGCATCCCTGTCTACTTTGGAGGTGATCCTGGATGTTCTCTCCCCAAAATTTGATTAAATGATAGTAATCAGAAAAACTTCACCAGGATATGTAGAAATCTTTGTTGATAACATGTCTTTTTAGAGCCTGAAGCAAGACTGTTAAATGATACTATTAACAGAAGACTGAATGAAAACAAGAAGGTGGATTGGAATGAGCTGGTTGAGGTTAAAGCTCAAAGTAAGGCTCTTTACTGATGTAGCAGGGTTTGTAGTCAGACCTCTTTCTTTGGAAAATCAAACTCACTATTTTATAGAAAAGGATGAGAATCAAGTGTTAACAAATGCAATGATGCTGCCTAGAACTGTTCATAAGAAGGAAATTCTTCCTGAACTAAAGCTAAATGGCAATCAATATATTGGGCGAAATCAGACAAGGAGACCCAAAAAGATTCAGAATATCATAAACGAAATTAGAAGCAAGTCTCCAGTATATACTATTGAATCTGGGAAGTTATTGTCGAACAACTCTGATGCGGTTTGAGTTAGATCACAGATAAGATCTCCCGTAAACCAAGAGGCAAAGCTTCCATTTCACGACAAAAATGAAATCACAGATTTCACAAAATTTACTCCAAATAAAACCTTAAAACTGTAAACTTTTTCTAATAACACTTTAACATTGTATAGTAAATCGAAAAGACTAAGAGCAGTACAAATTATTGATAAACAGAGAGTTGCTAAGAAGACAAATAATTCATCACAAAGCTCAACTGCAAGCGAGTTATCGCCGTTTTCTTGCCCAATGAAACCAAGAATCGGTTGTGGATTACAGAGCACATTCAGCAAAAAATTCAGAAATACCAAATGTACTACTCTTTGCCCCAATAACCTCTCTAGGCACTAGAAAACCTACAATAGATTACTTTGACACTGAAATTTTCTTCCCAAGAAAATCCAAAAGGAACCAGAACCAAAAACAAAACCTATCATCACTCCTATCAACCTCCGAAATCTCAATGATGAGGACCAAAATCATGAACGACTTTACATCTTCACTATAATCCAACCACCTCCCTTACATCTGGGGTTTTGGGGTTTTGGGGTTTTGGGGTTTTGGGG